TGAGGCTGTAACCAGCTTCGTGTTGGATGGGTAACCCTTGAGCGTTTGCTTGCTTTCTTTTCTGACGATCTAATGTCTTCGAGAACGGAGAACGCCCGTGAATTGTTTGAGGCAATTAATCAGGTAACATGACGGCAAAAACAAATTGCGACTGGCAGGTGAGTGGGTGTCTGGCTCAGGAAGTCGGTTTTCCACGTTGCCATTGGTTCTCGAAGACACACCATTTTGCTTTTGTTGGAAGTGGAGAAGCTATCCTTGTGGTGTACTAAGTAGAAGGTACTGGAGCAGTTGGCATGCTGGTAGTGCTGAGGCTTTTCGCAAGGCTTCAAAATGACCTAGCGGTTATATGCAAAATGGCGGAAGAGTGTGATCCGGATGCAGAAGAGGTGATGAATCTCCAGGTGGGTGTTCGGAAGCTGGTTGCTCCTTTTCCTTCATGTATTTATACATGTAGTAAGGTGTTGCCATGGGTAGGGAACCAGAGGTCCATCAAGCATTCAAATGGGCGTTCTGCTGCGCAAAGTGGGGGTTGTCTCTGCGTTCGGTGCAATGACCGGGAAGCACGTCCAGCAATCAGATGCGATGTGACAGCAAAGCCTTGAGCACTGCATGTACGGATGTTTGAGTTGTAGGGTTCCTTCGGCTTAATCAAACATTGTTCTCGTATGTTGTGGTTGTACAGCTAGTATGTCGTTGCAGTTAGGGGAAGCCCCGTTTGCACTTGTGTGTTTGCCAAGCTGAGTAGTGTACTCAGATTGATTGTGATTATATGACGCTGGGTGCATGCGCTTGTGGAGTTCTCCCTGCGTGGGTCGCACTGGATGTCACTGCGTTAGCTTCGCTGGAGGTGCCCCTTTTGGGACGGATTTCTGCCCCTCTGACCTATTGTGAGCCGTGCTTGTCTATGCATGTGCGAGCTGTGAGCGTGTGTGGCTAATGCAGGAAGTGCGTCAGCTGTCTTATTGTGCATTTCACCATTTTAGAGGAAAACAGGAGAAGGCATGCCCTTATTTGAAGCAGCTCACAAACCCTACTTTACTCGCTGGGACTTTAGGAGACGCATTTGTTGATTCGCCTGTACCATAGAGATGCGACAAGTCTGGTTAGGGCTTCCATCAGCATGAGTGAACTCATGTAAAGGCCTACCTGTGTCGGCTTTTGTATTTATACCGGCCGGACAATAGTCACTTCGTCGGTGCGCAGAGAGTGAATTCCTGTTGCTATGCCTCAATGTTCTGCGGTCCTGACTGTTGTTTCGAAGGACTTCCAGAGCACTAAGCTTGGCGTAAATGCCTCTACACAGACTGCCAACGGATAGGCCGGGTTCCTTTGAGTTGCCTGCGTTGGAAAGCGCTAGCATGCTGTATTGAGACCTTCAGTTAGACCTGCGTTCTTGGAGCACAAGGGACTCTCATAGACGACGTAAATCTGCAGTGTCTTGTACCTGCATGGACTGGTTATCTGTAGACTGCCACCTTGGATTAGCGGCAGCCAGATGCTATAAAGAGAAGTTCCATCTCCAATTTGTTGTTCTTGGTTAGCCCTTACCCTTTGGAAGTATTGTGAGCAATGTTTCCAAGGGGAAAACCGTCTGGGTTGTGCTAATGTTGCCAGCGGCTCGATCGTGCTACACCTTCTGCTATATGCAGCTTGTTCTTTGCAGCATCTGTGTTAAGTGCCTCGTCGCAACCGATTGGATGTGCAATATTCTCTAGAGTGGAGGTGACCGTGGTAGACATTGATTGAGCCACCATGTAAGAATCAGGAAACTGCACTAACCTGTGGGGAAAATGACCCTACACCTCAGTGTTTTGCCTCCTTTTATGTGTGGTTTGTGGATGCTTCCAACAGTACTGATGTTCCTGGTATAGAGTTGATGCAATCGTGGAGCGAGAGTGGTTCTGAGGCGATTGCTCCTTATTTCTTGTAGCTGTACCTTGAGTGTCCGCGGGGATGCGTTGAAATGCAAAACTGTACGGCCTACCTCCTTGCGTGTGTCTTGGAGTATGCATGGTTATGAAAACCCGCGAATGCGATGCAATCTCACGTATTTGTTCCTTTTTTGTCTCCAACGCCGCATTTATGAGACTTCTAGCTCGCGCCTGCTTTTTTGTTTTTTCTCGAACCCCTCGCCACATGCGTGCTGTTGGGCGTATCGGGCAGAAAGTGTGCTAGGATGTTAATGAGATATGGGAGCTCCATTGCATCGGAAAGGCTTTTCTGTGTTTGATGAACGTGCTCTTTGACGCATGTTGGCAGGCGTACTTGGTGTTCGTGATCTAGCTTAGTTGCATTCGTGCAGCGGGTTGGTTCTAGCCCGAACGCTGTTTCGTACGGGCAGCAATGCTTTTGATGAATGATCGTATTGATTTACGATACCCTTTGTTGCTGATATTGGAGGTCGATGCGAAGGGCGTTTGAATGACCTGCTCAGGCGGTAGGTGTCTAGGCAAGGAGTACTTTGCTTTGGCTGGTATAATTTTGATTTCGTCAACCTCGGTATCACCATTTCATCTTCAATGCAGTGAATTATGCTGAAGCGACCCACCTTGACCTTCACAGCAAGTGTGCCTTTGGAGACCCAGGCGGGCCAAATAGTTACGGCTGGTGGGGAGCACGGGCATCGATGAGCTGTCGATCAGTTGGTCTAAATCAATAAGTTTGCTGGAGTTCATGCTGAATGCGACGTTTTGTGTGTATTGACCAGGAGCATGGTTGACGTTAGTTGGGGGAGAGCAAGCTCCATTGCAGACTGTTTAGTACAAAATTTGGATGTTGTGTTTAGGTGCATCTGTTTCCGATTGCGGGTAGCCACGAACGTGTCATACGCTGCACATATGTGTGCTCCTAGCACGCGAACTGTGGAACGTTTGAGTACGTCTCTGTTCCTGCTCGGGTCCATAGCGATGCTGCATGGCTAGATCTTTTTCTCGCGTTGTACTGCCCAAGGGTGTGGAGTGTGCTGAGCGGAATGGCTAGCGTACTTGGGTATACTTAGCCGTTTCACAGCTTTCAAATCCATGGCGGTGGTATGGTATTTAATATTTGTTCTTCTTCTGGCTCTACGACTGTTTGCTGGGTTTACGATGTAAAGCCCCCAAGTAGTTGTGACGTAGGGGAGCTAAGAACTTCGACTCTGTGCCTTCATTATTGCTGATCGTCGCCAAAAGCTCTTTGTTACGGGCGTCACCGGGCATAATGTGCGTATGGATGTTGGCGGTTGCACAATATCCATTACAGTCATTGTCTTGCTTCACTTCGCGAACATGTTTTTTTGTCAGCGCTAAAAGCAGTACTGACGTTCCTGACATGCAATGGGAGTTTCTCTGTGTCGGATTGTGCCCACTGCTTTCAGCTGGGGCTTAATACAGGGCTGGACTGACGGATGCAATTGAACTGGTTGAGTACATGCGTGTGAATTAGAGTCTGCATAACCCCGTGTTTGCGATGCAGTCTCACGTATTTGTTCCTCGGAACGCAGATATCGTAGGACACGCTCAGTGAGAACAGAACAGACGCTTAATGCTGACAAAAGGGGGAAGCCTGCTTGATTTTTATTTGTAGTGCGAATACGAACTGTGAAAGCATGGCCCTTCGATTCTTTAGGTTTGAGATAGTTCCAGATAGAGATGTCAGAAAAGTTGCCGCAAGGCGTGCACATGTGTATGTGCACGTGCGTTATAAGCAGGGTCGGAGTATGGTGTGGTGCGTTTCACATGTAGGTACGCCTAGAGCCACTTTAGTTTAATAGTGCCTTCTGCTGTATAGGAAATAAGTACTCCACTGCAAAATTTGTGGTTCTGCTATCCAAACATTCACATGATGTTTTGTCCTGCGTCTCCGTTGCTAAACACGATCCGCAAAACATGCTGGCGGACCCATGTTGTTCTGTAAAATACTCTATTGCCATGGAATTCGGAGGCAACTGGAGTGGCGGACATTTCAAACTGCAAATCGTAAGCTGCATCTCCGTCAGGTGTTGCGTAGGAGCGTTGTTCCTATCTAACTGGTTCAGATGATGCGCAAGCACCAGCTATGGATGGATTTGTAGCGTGTACGTCTCTTCAAAATATACTTGTGCCCCTCTGAATGTACGCGCTTCTCTAGGTGTGTGGGGATGTTGTCTAGCCCTGTTTACTGGAAATTTTGATGTATTCATGTGGAATGCTAGCCATTCCACCACAATGTTCCAAAGCTAATGCCAGCTCAACATGCATTCAGTATGAATGTGTGTAAGCAATTCTGAAGGCATCTCGTCAAACCATATAAAGTGGAGGTAGCAAATACAAGGCATGAAATCTGTGCGGGAGTCACCATGTGGTTGAGTGTAGTGCCATATACTTGCCACGGCACACAATTGACGGTATTGCCTAGCGTCACATCCGCATGAAGAGCTTTGGCTCTTTGGCATATTGCCATGCACCCAAAAGGGTTCCCGCAGCACGAACCGATTCGCTGCGATGCCATTTGGGTTCTTCTCCCCCATGTGCATGCAGGTAGCCCGTTTCGCAGCTTTCCGACATTCAAGTAGCACAAGCCGCGAGATAGTCTGTGTAGAGGAACGCCCTAGAGCTCATGGTGTGGGGAGGGCTGTTGTGACTACACTTATCGTACGGTTCGGTAGTTGATTTGTTGAGCGCCTTCTCCACCATTGACATATTTGGTGCTGTCGGACCATCCCTCATGTATCCCTGTGTGCAATCGGACTCTCGATATTCGCATGAAGGCACATGCACGCTCGCTGCAGAATGACGAGGTTTCGCAGGCGAGTGGTTTCCACATGCCCGATCATATAAATACAGATGTTCCTCCATTCCTAGGCCGTAAGTACTGGAGCAGATGCAGATTATATTGTCAGCTATGAGGAGCTCCGTTTGATACTGCGTGGACTTCAAGTGGCCCTCGGCGTTTCTTTGATTAAAGCTTTCATAAATGACTATTTTTAACTTTCACTGATTAGTTGTTATGATTCTAAATAGTAATAGAGTCATCTAAGATCCCCATGATGCAATTTTCTGATTTCCGATATGAAAAATTGTCGCCTGGGTAAACTGGTTCAATCGCCCCACGCAGCGTCATCAGTGTATGATGAAAACCCTTTCCTTTTCTGCCCAATTTTTGTAAAACATTAAATTTCACACGATGCGAAGTGAAACGAGCTAAAATGATGCAGATCTCGATCTGCACCGTGCTGCGGCAGCAGAGCCGCAGCCGCCCGTTGCCCCTGAGCTGAGGGGCGTTGACACCGAAATGGAGCACGTGACTGATTATCTCAGCACAACCTCCGACACTTCTAGCGACTGTGAGAACGTACCGGAAGAGCGGGCACACGAGGTAGATGAGATCAGGGGCTCCCTCTTTGGGGGCCCCACTACTGAGCGGTCGCCGCTCATCTAGTGCCCGTCACTACAAAATGTACCAGATTTGGGTTTCCGAAACAGTACGAAGAGAAATAAGGATATTTAATGAGGCCTTGTTTAGAAAATCTAAGCCATTAGTAACCGATCACCTAGCGCCAGCACGCCCCTGGGGCCCGTGTACTGCTCGCAACCGCGACGCTTGCCCCGGCGGGCACGCGTCCCAAGGCCACGGTGAGCTCCTGAGACAGTCAGATTTTCTAAATCGGCCTTTTTGGTCTAACCGAACTCCTCTTGGGCTGAAATTTGGGAAAGTTGGCAGAGTCTAGGCTTGGGAGTTAGTGTGCACCTAATTGGGCTACGGAAACTGTTAAGTAGCCCTCGTGGTGCAGCGCTACACACCCACGGGGCCCCACACCAACATAAACCCTGTACCCTAAAAAACCCTAAAACCCTAAAAAGCCCTAAACCCTAATTTTTCTACAACTTTCAATTAAAATGCTAACGAATTTATTTAAGGTTTCTTACGATTTTCTATCTTAAATATCTAAACCCTCACGAATGCTGTTTAGGGTGTAGGGTTTAGGGTTTATACAGCATAGTTGAATATATTTAGAGTGTAAACCCTTGAGGAGTATATTTGTTTACATTTGTTTTACCTATTTTATTTATTTATTATTTTTGTTTTGTTTATTTTATGTATTTGTTTACTATTTATGTATGTTATTTATTTTATCTAATTACTTCGTGTGTAACGCACGGTGGCCGTCTACCGTGGCTACTTATGACTCTCTCATACGCCTGAGGCCTCTATGGTGCTAAGTCTACAGATTGAGTATCAAAATGCATTAGTTTTCTGCTATTCCCAAGGAAAATCCCTAAATTACGGAACTTCCGAAGGAAGGATCGATCTTAATCGTCTTCCTGCATCAGTGTCTGCTTATCCCCGCCAGGTGCGTGTTACATCCTGCCGCTCATTCTGGCACCGGGTGCTACGGTCGGTCCGCAGCTGGGTCCGGCCTCTTTTGGATAAACTCTGCTCCTGAGGGTACCAATTCCCTCTAATTATTAAGATATTATCTCTAATTGATCCTACGTTACTTCACATAACATAACTATGTTCTGTCCTTCTGCGCGCCTGCGCACATAGCCCGGCGGCTGGCTGCTGCTGCTCAGCGCGCGGCCTCTAATAGACTGCTACACCTCTAATATGCTCATAAACCTAATAATATTACTGAATTCTATCTATAGTTGAACCTAGGTAACCTCAGACCTCGAAAATATCCCACTGAGCACACTCTCTAACTTACTCGTACGCTACCGCAACCGTGGACAATGTAGTGCCTGTGCACTACATCGTGTCTTGTTTAGTCCTATTTACCTAAGAAAAGGGCATACAAGTTTATATATATATATATATATATATA